ACTTCTTCCCAGAAAGGGTTGTCAGGCTCTGGAATGGGCTGCCCAGGGAGGGGGTTGAGTCACCATCCCTGGAGGTATTTAAAAGAAGGGCAGATGAGGTGCTTAGGGAGTGGGTTTAGTGGTGGGATGGCAGGGTTAGGGGAACAGTTGGGCTTGATGATCTTCAAGATCTTTTCCAACTGAAGTGATTCTATGATTCTAACTAGGAGCAGCTTTACCAGTGAGAGCAGTGCCTTGCTGGGAAGCGGTGCAGACTGCTGGTGTGCCCCGTGCGAGGGTCTCGCCTCTTAGCGGGTGCTGTATGAGCATTTCCCCTTGGTTAGATGCACAACATTTCCTTTAAGCCTGTTTCCCTGAAGGAGAAATTGCAGGCTTACACCATAGGCAGCTAAAGCTGTAAAACGCAGTGTTAAAATGTGCTTTTAAAATAGAACACGAAACAGAAACAGCGACTCGTTGAGTTTTGACAGGGGTGGATATGGTTGTGGTAATTACCTACCTTTTGGACTTTATTCCACAGCAGTAGTTTCAGTCCGATACAGGCCAGCATGGTGTTTAAGTACAGTATGTCAAAATTTGCAAACCACCACCCCCACCCCCCCCGTAATCTCTATTAATAGTTACCTGGGTGCATTCGGGATGCCAGCACACCTTCATCTAAACGCATTTGTCCTTTTTCCGTGACCTTCTGCTTACAGTAGCATGCAGAAAAAAAATCGCCTATGTTTCCATGGGGCTTGGGTGCAGCTGGACAGGAGAAACGTGTGGTGCTGTGAGAGGTTGCTGACGCAAAAAACGCGAATTTTATGAGTTTTGCCCTGGAGATGGAGCGTGCTGTGGAGGGGTGCAGGCAGTTGGGGTGACTCTGCTTGCAGGGGTACCTGGTAAGGTTTTGTAACTCAGCTGTATTTGGCTGTATGCCTGCACCATGCTTGCCTTGAATTGGCTCTTATTGGTGGCTGCAGCAGGACCAGAGAAGTAATCAAAATATCCAGTCCATAATCTCAAGTGGCTTGAGTAGATACTTTTCTACAGTGTAAAATATTTAAAAATTGGGTTCCAGAATATCCCCAAATCCAGCCCAAGGTTGAGAACATGATGCTATGCTGTACTAAAAAGAGGAGATTTTACTGATGTTTTCATTTTCAAAAGCCCTTCTGCCAAGTGACACTGGATCTACAGTTCACCTGGCAGCAGAACGGTGAGGTGGAGCAATACGGTCGGATGCAAATGCAGCCTGACAGTGTAAAACCTGTGTAAAACCTGCACAAAAGCATGTAAAACTTCCGTGCTTTCCTTGTAAGGGGGCAGAAAGGGCTTGAAGAGGCTGAAAATTCAAGCAGCTTTGGCTCAGTTGGGTTGCTTGGTAGCATCACCACAGCTACTCTCTTCAAAGACTGGGAAACTCCTTTCTGGCTGAGGTCCCAACAGCAAAAGAGGTTTGCCAGGAGGGCTCAGGTGAGTCGGATCTGGAATCACGGTTGCCATGAATTCCTGGGAGGGCATCTCAAGACATGGTGGTGTACAGCCACCCGCAATCCTCTGCAGGAGGGCCCATCAGCTGAGGCTTTGATGTCTCACCTCCAGTCCTTAGACCACATCCATTCGCATTTTTGGTGGATTAAATTCTGCGTGCAGGTCCTGCGTCCTGGTGGAGTTTAATGGAAGCTTGCCCTTGTTTCGTGTAAATTGAGCTGTGGGGAGAGGAGGGAGCTGGTGGTGAGCAGAGGGCTGCAGATGTGGCCTTGGCAAGTGACCTCTGTGGAAGGAGGTGGCACGGCATCCACGTGTCTTCTGCAGGTTCTGGCACAGAGGGAGCAAATCAGGCAGGGTGATTGCTAATGGGTTCGTAAGAGGGAGACCTCACGTGGTGGTCGGGGGCAGCAGGGGACGTGTGGGTGGTGGTCAGGGGCAGCAGGGGACATGGGCGTGGTGGTCGGGGGCAGCAAGGGACGTGTGCGTGGTGGTCAGGGGCGGCAGGGGACGTGTGCGTGGCGGTCGGGGGTGGCAGGGAATGTTCACGTGTCCCACCCCGTAGCAGGAGCAGCGCTGCCGCGGGGTCGCGGGGGATGCTCGGTTCCCCCGTGCTCAGTTCCTCCTCTGGGCAGCGAGTAGGGGTGCAATGCGCAGGTTGGGTGACTGGTGGCCAGAGGCTCCCATGCTCCTGGCCAGGCTGGTCCCAGCGGGCACCACCTCGCATGGGGTGGCGGGAGGTTGGCGGGTGGTACTGGAAAAATATGGGACTGTTGGGGGAAGGTCATGACAGTAAATCTGATTTATGGGTAACAGGTTTTGCACCAAGTCTTGGATTTTTGATGCAGACACCTTCCCTCCACTGCCAATACTTGAGATCCCAGCTGGTGAATTAATTTCAGGAAAGTTGTTTGCATCCAAAGTTTGGATATTTTATTTCAGGTTTGCTAATGTTTAAATAGTATTCAATGTGAGTAGGCAGGAACATGCATTTTCATTGAGCATCTTTAGGCTTACTGTTGCTGGGATTAATTTTTACTTTCTTAAATTGTAAACTGGAAGCTGCAAGTTTCAGTGTGAGATGACAGATTGTGGGGGTTTAAAACTCGTTCTTTTTAAAAGGAACTAGTTGGTAATATTGTTTCCCGGTTGAATTTAAGTGTGCATGGCTTGGGGCTTTCTGTTGCTCACATCCTAGTAAATTTATCTGATACCATTCCTGTACTGTTCACGTTTTCCTACCGTTCCTGTTCATAACTGCTTCGCCTTGTGTGTTTGTCATGAAAAAAAAACCCCAAACCTTTTTGCTGGGAAAATAGGAGAAAATTGGGGTGGCAGGCTTGAGAAAGTAATTTGAGTGGTATATTTAAAAAAAAAAAAAGGTCTTCAGTCTTATATAGGTATATGGAGAAGTGTGGCAGGTACAGGCTGCGCCTGTCTATGGGTAGCCTGTTTATATCAGGGCAGAATGATGTGTTTTGTCAAACTCGCCACAAAATAAATGTCTCGGGAGTTTTCATATGCACAAGCTGTCATTTCCTTCAAGCAAATGCTGTAACTTCACGGTGTCAAACCACTCTGGAGATTGAGTACGCACAGAACTAAATAATAAAAATATCCATATTCAGTATCTCTGTTCAACATAGGCTGTTGCAGAGCTAAGCTATATTCTGTTCCCTCTCCAGAGGACTCTGAATATCACCTGGTCGAGTACAGCATCACCTTTGTGCTCCAAAAAGCATAGAATCATAGAATGGTTTGGGTTGGAAGGGACCCCTAGAGGTCACCCAGCCCAACCCCCCTGCAGGGAGCAGGGACACCGCTAACCACATCAGGTTGCTCACAGCCCTGTCCAACCTGGCCTTGAATGTTCCCAGGGATGGGGCCTCCACCACCTCTCTGGGCAACCCCTGCCAGGGTTTCACCACCCTCACTGTAAAGAATTTCTTCCTTAGATCCAGTCTAAACCTACCCTGCTTCAGTTTAAAACCATCCCCCCTTGTCCTGTCACAGCTGGCCCTACTAAAAAGATTTTCCCCACCTTTCCTATGGGCCCCCTTTAAGCCCTGACCGGCCGCAATCAGGTCTGCCTGCAGCCTTCTCTTCTCCAGGCTGAACAAGCCCAACTCTCCCAGCCTGTCCTTTGATGTTAAATCTGCCTGCTGATGCCCCTACAGAGCATCTCCTGGCTTCACATCCATAGCTGAGGGCACGAGCGTGGTGGTTTGCTGTCATCCACACGAACACCACGCCGTGCAGCGCCCAGCTGCAAGGGCTCTCTGGCTGGTTTGCACATCTCGACTTAAAAGCACGATGTCTTTTAAGTCACACGTGTGCCGAAACACAAAGGCATGGTGTCTTGCCTTCCAGCAGAGAAGGCTCCCCCGTGCTCACACCCCATTGTGTCCCCGTGCGGGGAGCGGGGAGCTGGCTGTCCTGCTGTGTGCAGGCAGACTCTGGGCACGCTTGGTACCGGGGCTTTTCAACCTCAGCCTGATTCTAGCTAGGGGATACAGCTGGAAGCTAAAGTTGTCAGCAAAGTTTTTTCTATTAGCAATTTCCTAAAATATTTCACATGCTGTGTACGCATTTACTTATCATTTACTTATCTCACCCTCCCCCCCCCCCTTTTTTTTTTTTTGCCTTACAGCTTCTGACATGAAGAAGGATATAGAGTCTTTAATAGTCCAGGAAAAAGCGGAGATAGTTGCCAAGTATGAGAAGGTACCAACCTCTTGTTTCTCTCCAGCATGCTGGCTAAGGCTGAAGCTATTTAATCCATTAGCACTGCTTTGAATAAGAACTTTGGCCTCCCTGTAGGCATCACCCCAGTAACCCTCATGCCGTCAGCCTTCATGCTGGCTCTCCCTGCCTGCACATCCCCTCTTGCCACATCCCCAGAGTTCCTGATGGATCCCGTGTATGCTCAGCCCAAAGGTCCTGGGCTTCTGGTGCTTCTGTGTCCCCTTAACACCAGGATGGCTTATGCCCGTCAGCATAATATATGACGTACGGCCCTTCCCATCCTGTAGCAGAGGCACACCAGGGACACTGGACAGGCTTAACTTTTGCGTTTTTCTCTTGCCTGCTTTGTATTTGTCTCTTTAGAGCAGGTTTTGGTCTCCTGGCTCCATGCCTTCTAGCGTGTGGGGAGGGGAAGGGTGCAGGCACGGGGGCGTTCCTGATGCTGGGGCCAGCTCATGGGTGTCCGTTCTGCTTTCAGGGCAGGCAGGCAGGAGCTCAGATTGACCCATGGGAAGATGCCGATTTCACACTGTATAAAGTTACAGACCGGTTTGGATTCCTGCAGTAAGTCCTTCTGCCCCCTCCTCTCCTCTCCTCTCCCACCCGCTGCGCAGACCATCCATCTGCACCGAGCGTGGCAGACCCCGCATCTTTCTGTATAAGCCACTCTGTGGCTCGGCGTGATCAGTCCCCAATACAGGAGGAAAGACTGGATGTGCCTCCTCCTCTGACTTCACGCGTTCACACGGTCTGATGCTTTGAATCTGCGGCAAGGCAAGGCTCGGAAGCGGTTCCCCATCGCAAGCCTGGTGTCAGAAGATGCAGGCTGGGGCTGCTGTGCCTCTGCGGAGGCCCACAGTGTCACAGAACAAGAGGCTCCTGCCTTTGCACCTGATGACTCAGGGAGGTGTAGGAAGAGATGAGACGATATCTGATCGTCTTCGGTTCCCTTAAAAAATCGCCGTCCTGAGCAAGGTGCAGATTAATTAGATGCACACCCTGGGCCTGGGGAGGATGCTTAAAAGAGCTATTCTTATTCCAAATCCAAACAAAAAGTTGTAATAGCAGGTGTTTTGTGTGCAGGAGGGGGTTTGAAGCAATTGTTGTCCAGAAATCCACCCGCCTCAACCCCACCCTGCTTTAATTGCTGATCATGTGTGTATTGAAGAGATGCTTTATGCCCAGGATTTCCAGCCACATACAGTGCTTGATTGCCCCCCAGCAGCTCCTGTAGGGTGCTGGGGTTTTGGCTGGTGCTTCCTCTGCCTCTTCTTCGTTGGGGGCATCTGTAGGAAAGGCATGAAGCCCCTGAGCCGTATCTCCTCAAGGTGCCTGAGGTGGTCCCTGAGCTGCAGCACCCCGCGCTCCTCCACACCCTTTCTTGCCCATAGAGTAACCAGTGACCCCTTGCTTTTCCAGCGAGCAGGAGCTGCCAACCCGCACGGCCTTGGAAGAGAAGGTGAGAGCTGCCAGCTCTGGTGTCATGGGTATCAGATCCTTGTCACACTGGCTGGGGAGGGGACAGGTTTTGGGAAGACAAGTGTGCAAGCGAGAGCGAAGCAGGCAGCCAGCGCTGGCTGGTCACTGCTGCTCATGCAGAGGTGGGAACTCTGCAGGATGCCCAGCTGTTGGAGCTTTGCTGGCTCAGGCATCTCCCCTCCTCCATGCTGCACTGAAATCACACCTTTTAAAGCAATGTTGGGCTTTTTCCTCCGCTTTGGCAAAGCGCTCAGTGACTGAGGCTTGAAAAGAGGATTGCCCATGCGGGGGAAAGCGGTGGAGGTTGTAACTGCCTTCTCCACCCTTATCTCCCCTGAGCTGGGAGTGTGTCCTCTGTTAGGATCCTGCGAACTGGGACTAAACAGCATCTTGTTTCTGCCAGTCTGATACGAGGGTATGGTTTGAGGCTAGCTGAACCTGCAAAGATGTTTGTTGTCAAGAAATACTCCTCCTGGAAATGCTTTGTCTATGTTAAGCCTATGCACCTCATAGTTTTTACCAATGCTTCTTTAATTACCACGAGTTGAAATTACCAGTTCCTGCAAGCACCTGTGCGGTATTCCTATCCATGATGCAAAGTCTTTGCACAGAAGTTTAATCCTAAAGAGAATGAAGTTTTGTGTTTTTAGGACGTATCTTCTGGGGCTTTTTTTTTCTGAAATTTTCTTGTCTTCTTCCCCCTTGCACCAGCAAAAACAGCAGGAAATCGAACGCGTGGACAAGTGGCTGAAGATGCTGAAGAAATGGGGCAAATACAGAAACAGTGACAAGGTAAAGAGGACGTGTCTGGAGGGACGGGAAGGGTGCATCACTCCAATGAGTCAGGATTTCAAAAAGTTGATAGAGAAACCAGAGATCATTAGGAAATGTTGCCTATTTCTACCTATTAGTTTTTAATATTTTAAATCTTTCCTTGAAGTTGCTGGGTTGAGGGAAAAGTCCTGTTCTGATTTCCATAGTTTTCAAAACGGCTTCCTAAATGCTGCTGGTGTGTTTGCACTTCTGCTTCCCTGTGCAAGCAGGAGACCAGCAGAGATGTTCGTGTGCCCAGCTGGGTCCCTGCCCTGAGAGCAGGGAGCGTTGCATGGCGCGGGTCGCTTCCGTGTCTCCACCACCTGGGAATGGCGTGGGAGATGTGGCTGATGCGGTCCGGTGATGTTCCTCGTAATTCTCCCTGGAGGGAGAGTTATTTGTCTGGGACATCACCTAGATTTTGTGGTTTGCTCCTAACTGTGCCTGTGAGAAGAGAAGCCCCTTAGGTGTTAGATTTTGTGCAGCTGCCTGTGGAAATCAAGGATGGAGACACCAACCCTGTGTCTTGGCTTCGGTGTTCAAAGTAAACTCTGGACCAAAAGCCACTGCAAAACTGAGTTGGTTTTAATAAATAATATTTGTAACATGTTCCTATTACAAACCTCTTGAAACAAAAAACCCTTGAACCTAGTCAGCATAAGAAGGACATGGAACTGTTGGAGCGGAGGAGGGCGACCAAAATGATCCGAGGGCTGGAAGCCCTCTCCTAGGAGGCCAGGCTGAGAGAGTTGGGCTTGTTCAGCCTGGAGAAGAGAAGGCTGTGGGGAGACCTGATTGCGGCCGTTCAGGGCTTAAAGGGGGCCCATAGGAAAGATGGGGACAATCTTTTTAGTAGGGCCAGCTGTGACAGGACAAGGGGTGATGGTTTTAAACTGAAGCAGGGTAGGTTTAGACTGGATCTAAGGAAGAAATTCTTTACAGTGAGGGTGGTGAAACCCTGGCAGGGGTTGCCCAGAGAGGTGGTGGAGGCCCCATCCCTGGGAACATTCCAGGCCAGGTTGGACAGGGCTGTGAGCAACCTGATGTGGTTAGCGGTGTCCCTGCTCCCTGCAGGGGGGTTGGGCTGGGTGACCTCTAGGGGTCCCTTCCAACCCAAAACATTCTATGATTCTAATGACAGGACCCTTGCTGGGTAAGGAGAAGGAGCATCACGCTCCGACCTGCTCTGCCTGTGGCTCTCTGCGCAGGAGAGGGCTGAAGCCCAGCGTCACCTTCTCACTGTGGCCTCTACAGCCGCCTTTTTTGGCAGGAGGAGCAAGGTGTTTGGCTTCTAGCTCCTGCTGAGAGTCCTCAGGAGACGCTTGAGCTCAGTTAAAAGGTTGTGCAGAGGATATCTGCATGGCTGCAGGGGAGACGCTGAGCAGAGCATCCCCCTCGCCCAGCCTTCCAGAGTGATGTTAGGTTCACCCAGCCAAAGATCAGCTGTAGTCTTGTCCTTTTTAAAAAAAAACCCAACAAAAAAACCAACAACCCACGTCTTCTCTTTGTTGCAGCAGGGATGGGGTGGAGATGGGCTTGGGGTTTTGTAATCCTTCTGTTCGCTTCAGGGTGGTTCTAATTAATTTGTTCATCGGTGCCGCTCCACGGGCAAAACCAGAGGCTCTCCCATGGCATTGTTTTTTCTCATTAGAAGTTAGAAAACCAAATTCCAGCAGAGTGCAAGGAATTCCTTCAGGTCCTGGAGGATGTTTGGGATGGGTAATGATGAGTGGTTTTAGCACGCCTTGGGCTTCCCTGGGTCAGCCAGTGGGGACAGACAGGATCTGGGGTGAGGGGTGTGTGGAACAGTAGCGATCCCTGTCTGTCTTTTGGATGTACCCCAACAATTAGTGGGTGTGTTAAGCACGCTGCAGCCGACATCGCTCAGGTCTGCTGGGTGGCGAGGAGCTAGGCCAGCAAGTGGGTTTTGGAGGGTCTCTGAGTCAGAAAATCACAGAGCTTTTGTAATGGAATAAATGATGCTATTTATAACGGCCCGTTGATGGCTCTTGGGCACAGACGAGGCATTGTCCTTGTGCTGGGGGACTGGAAGTGGCCACCCCCCCTCCCAGCTGACGGAGAAGCAGAGATTGGCCCCAGGCAGGGAAGTGTGACCCTGGGGAATAGAAAGGAGCTTTGGTTTCAGTCCTGCCCAGCCTAACACGGCCTTGCGCCAGCGCGGGCATCGGAACAGCCATGCAGCCCGAAGCGCAAAGACCCTGAGAGGCTCAAAAAAAAGGTGCTTTAAAAAAATAATAAAACTAGGTCATATCCTTCACCTGGATGTGCAACTCTTGTGCCAGGAATGTGGAATCACAGAATCCCAGAATGGCAAGGGTTGGAAGGGACCTCGGGAGATCACCCAGTCCCACCCCCCTACTCAAGCAGGCTCACCCAGAGCATGTTACACAGGACTTCGTCCAGGTGGCTTTGAATATTTCCAGAGAAGGAGACTCCACAGCCCCCCTGGGCAGCCTGGGCCAGGGCTCTGTCAAAGTAAAGTAAAGAAAGTAAAGTAAAGAAGTTCTTCCTCATGTTCAACTGAAACCTCTAATGTTTCAGTTTATGCTCATTGCCCCTTGTCCTGGCGCTGGGCACCACTGAGAAGAGTCTGGCTCTGTCCTCGTGACACCCACTCTGAGATATTTGTACATGTTGATGAGGTCCCCTCTCAGCCTTCTTGCTGCTCAGAGATCCCTGCTGTCATGGCGGGGTGCAGCTCAGATGTGGTGTTTCAAGGTTGTCATGCTGGGATCACAGTCATGCCCTTCAGATGTTTATGGGTTTTTTTCTAGGCAAAGTAAATGTGACAAGCCCTTGATCTGATTTTTCTAAAGGGAAATGGGTTGGTTTTGTTCCCTCTCCGAGCACGGAGGCTGTCACATCTGCAGGGCATGTTTCCTTCAGGTTTGTTTGTGGCACTTTGATGATGTGATGGAAGCCCAAGTGTCACCAGACAGCAGCTCTGTGTTATTTTAATAAAGACTAGGATGTCATCTTTGAAAAAAAAAAAAAAAACCTCTTACTGAAGACAGGAGTGTCCCTTTGATGTTCACTTTGATACACTGCACTTTATTAGAGGGGGAAAAAAAAAATCTTGTTGCAGGAACCCCAGGCGGTTTCACAGGGAAGCTGCCCTGACTTTGACTCTGCTTGAGTGATGTAGAAACCCATCTTATTTTCCAGGCTGGGACTTTCTGGACTTCGGGGCTAACCTTTCGAGTCCCAGTTCATGTGCTGGCACTGGCAGACAGCTGACCATATCGAGTGCTTGAGGAGGGGCTCTCGGCTTCTCAAGCAGGCTGTCATGTTTTACAGCATCCTAGTGCCCGGTCTGGGGCTTAGGTTGTTGACGCAGCTTCTGTGTTGTGAAATGTCAGCAGGAGGAGGGAGGTTGTGTGCTCGTTCAGGGCACTGGCCCCAACGCAAGCACCCGTCAGGCAGGCGAGAAAGCAGCTTTTTCAGACCCCCAGCCTGAGCCATCACCAGAGAGCAGCAGGTTTTGCTTTCTCTTACCTCTCCTGCTGCCACTGTGCATCCCTGTGTGCTGCTGGTTGCAGTCTGGGTGCTGTGGGACCTGGGAGTCCTGGTGGATGACAAGCTGACCATGAGCCAGCAGGGTGTCCTTGTTGCCAAGAAGGCCAATGGTATCCTGGGGTGCATCAAGAGGAGTGTGGCCAGCAGGTCGAGGGAGGTTCTCCCCCCTCTATTCTGCCCTGGTGAGACCTTCCCTGGAGTACTGTGTCCAGTTCTGGGCTCCCCGGTTCAAGAAAGATGAGGAATTCCTAGAAAGAGTCCAGAGGAGAGCAACAAGGATGATGAGGGGACTGGAGCATCTCCCCTATGAGGAAAGGCTGAGGGAGCTGGGCTAGTTCAGCCTGGAGAAGAGAAGACTGAGAGGGGACCTCATCAACACATACAAATATCTCAAGGGTGGATGTCACGAGGACAGAGCCAGACTCTTCTCAGTGGTGCCCAGTGACAGGACAAGGGGCAATGGGCACAAACTGAAACATAAGAGGAAGAACTTCTTGACTTTGAGGGTGCCTGAGCCCTGGCCCAGGCTGCCCGGGGGGGCTGTGGAGTCTCCTTCTCTGGAGATATTCAAAGCCTGCCTGGACGATGTCTTGTGCACCCTGCTCTGGGTGAGCCTGCTTTAGCAGGGGGGTGGGACTGGGTGATCTCCCGAGGTCCCTTCCAACCCTTGCCATTCTGGGATTCTGTGTGTGAAATTAGGCTGAAAAAAAACCCTCAGGAGGAGGGCCTCCTACAGTTGCTAGCCCAGGATGGCCCGGCTATGCCTAAAACCATTCCTGGCATAACCTGTTTCAGGATGAGCAACAAATAGGATTATCTTAATTAAAGTGATGCCCTGGTGTTCCTTGTGCTCGTCACTGCATCAGATCAGTCTCCATCTCTGTTCTAGACACATTTTATACAGATCTGATTTAATTTCAGTAGTAACCTCAACAAAAAGTGACACCAGTACAATTCCCTGCATGGATGGGGTTAGACTGATGCAATGGTGCCTGTTCCTGGCTCTCCTTCCACAAGGGAAAGGGTACAAAAATAAAGGAGTCCAAGCAAGGACCATGCTGCTTTGCAGAGTTTAAGGTACATCAAACCTGCAGGAAAGCGCTAAATTGTGTGATTCGGGGGTCAGCATGGGGAGGCTCAGGTGGTTTGTGTCCCCTTCACTGCTGTTTTACACCTGAGTTTAAATCCCAAGCTGACTCCACTTGGGAAGGTTAGGAAGTGGTTGGGGCCGTGTAAGAATAGACACAGTTAAGGCAGCACAGTCTTGCAGAGAAAAAAAGAGGCTGTGCTGCATGCACTCCAAGGGTGGGATAATTTACTCATCGTAGCCCTGAAATAAGTGGGTTTGAGCCAGAAGTACCAGTCCTAGGAAGAGGATATGACCTCTGCATCATTTGCAAGCTGCTTCATGCTGCTGGCCGTGTGGGGTGGCACCTTTAGAGAAGGATGTCTTTGGCTAGAGATGTCTGGTTTTTAGGCAAAGCCTGCCTTTGTGCACAGGGGTAGCCTTGTCTCTGCTAAGGTCACGGGAGTGCAGGGCGCTTAATCCAGTCCATGCCAGCAAAGTGGCTTAGGATGAATCGGGGCTCTGTATGGACTGACATGGACCTCCAGGCACGAATAATCTGCTAACGCTGGGGAGAGCCAGCAGACATTTGTCATGGCAGGGTCAGCTGAAGTCAGATCTCCTGCCCACAAATGCCACGGGAAAGAAAGGGGGTTGCGCCTGGGAGCTGCAGGGTGACTTCTGCTGCTGGATTTTGCCAGTTTGGAAAGGCAGGTAGCATTTTCCTCTTCCCCCAAGGTAGCCCTGGTAATAAATGTAAATGCCCACCCACGACACATCAGCTTTAGGGTTTAAATTTGGCCCTGCTTTGCTGCCAAAGCCCCCACAGACTTGCTGCACCCCATTCAGCATAACCAAGTCTCCAGCTCCAGGGACAAGAGCTGAGTTGAGAGCAACCATCAGCCATACAGAAAGAAAACCATGTGCAGTGGAGTCCGGGCTTCCAAGTGTCTTGCACAGCCACATCATAAGTCAGCCAGTGTTGTGGTGCAGAAAAGATGTCCACTTCTCCAGGGTGGTGGTGGTCATGGTGGTGGTGGAGGCTTCACCTTCACCCACCACCCCAGGTGAAGATTTTCACAGCTCAGCTCACCCAGCACATCACTGGTGGAGGAAGTGAAGGAGTCCTTCCTCTCCAGAAGGATCACTCTTGGAGCCCTAGAGGAACTGAGGAAGGGGGGCTGCCCCCCACGTCAGGGTGTTGGAGACGTATGGTGGGTATGCAGAGAGGTTTGAAAGTGAAATTGTCATGCATGCCCAAAATTTGGGCATTACTTCTGCAGTCTCTTCCTGATGGACCATGCACATGGCTGAGAAGCTAACAGTGACAGGCTCCAAAATGTGAAAGCGGGCTGAAATGCGTATATTCTGCTTTAAAAAAGCCAACCCATCCTTCCCAAACCCTTTTTAACTTCAGCTTCTTTACTGCAAAAAGATGTCCTGCGTTGAAAGGCAGTGACTCCAGCCCTCTAATTAAAGACCTGGAGCACTTGGTTGGGTACTTCTCAGAGGAGATCTCTGATGCAGGAAGGTGGAGCTCAGGTATGTGCTTCTACAGTCTTCCTCATCCCATCTGCTGGAAGCAAAGTACACAGGGAGGGGAGAGATGGGGATGGGGTGATGATGGCCTCTGCCCTGAGCTTTGCACATTAAAGCCTAGAGAAGGAAGATGAACTTCTGGCAAACACTGGAGCAAGTTTTAAACACTGTAGGTTCAGTCCTTGGCTCTGACACGACCTGTCTACACAGCACCTTGAGCCATTGCTTCGATCACCAGCATCTCTGTTTGTGAAGCAGGATGATGTCCATCACTCCTGCCGTATGGTGGTCGGTCTGTCAGTCTTCATGGGGTCTGTCTAGGTGCTCTCTTCCCATCTGTAAGGGCTGAGCAGCTTATAAGAGACAGAAGATGGTGACCTTGAGGGTTGTTTTCTCTTCTCACACAGAGCAGGAATTGCCATCGTCCGCTACCTTCCCTCCATCAGTTCATCCCAGCGTAAATGCTGCTTTTAATGATAACTTCCCTGTTTTCCTTCAAGTTGCTCATTTTTCCTCTGCATGACTCACAGCTCTGAGGTTTTATCACTTTCACGTCTGGAGGCGGTAGGAGGAGGAAAGCCCTTGGATAAATAACAGAGAGGCATTTCAGTTCGGTTCCAACTCAGCATGTTTTGTAACTCCCCTGTTCTTGCCACACTCTTGTGGAGAAAATCATTAGAGACATTTACTATATGCCAGTGAGGGTTGCACTCATTAAAGTACAACAATACCAGCTCTGGCAGTTCAAAACAAAATCATTTTCTTCCCATGGAGCTGAGTATCATCTTCTACCTCGGCAGCTGTCAGTCAGTCTCTCCTGATCTGTTGGAGGTAAATAATTTTTTCTGAACTTTCTCTGAATTGGTACATACTCCGTTTTTTTGATCCCATCTCAGCTTTTGCTTCATGCAGTCACAAGCTCTTGCAGGAGCCAGGCTTCCGTGGGCACCTTACCAGTACCACTTTGGGGACGTGGTTCATCTAAGCCCACTGCTTTGTGTCTCCTGATGCATTGCACTTTCATCCTGATTTAGTGACGGGGAATGGGAATCTCTTGTTCATCTCCTTGGTCTTTCAGCCATGGGGATGAAGCTGTCCAGCATGGCATGAAGGTTCGCTGTCCTCCTGAAATGCCACCTCATGTGAGTTTGGACAAGCAGGAGTGACTCCCCTAGGTGTGCAGATGATGAATTAGTGATGTCCCGCTTAAGATGCAGGATGCTGTTGAGTAGGATGGAGGCTGCCTGAGGGCACATCTTGGTCGTGAGATGCTTTTCATTGGGCAGCTCTTATTTGGTGCTTACAGGGGGGAGGGCAGGATCTTGCAAAGGATTTCTGTAGGGTATGACCCATTGGACCTTCAGAGCTGGTGCTAAGCAACACCTGAGGCAGAGCAATCATTTGACAAGTGCTGAGAATGGGGTTTTAAACGTTGAATGTCCATTATGCTTACAGGATCAGGATACGCTACACTGGCAGTTTCTGTGTCTGCAGAAATACTGAAATATTTACCATAGGGGGGAAAGTGTTACAACACACATCTAGCTCTCTTCGTACTACACAGCGGTCCTGGCATTTATTACACAGTTCTTTCATATACTTATTTGGACTGGGATAGTGGTGTTCTTTCTTTGCTGTCCCCTATCCCATCTATTTGAACCTCACCTCCTGTCCTCGTCTTGTGCTGGCTCCTTGGGACCAGAGCCATCGTTGCCGTGTTTTGCACTCGGTAGGTGCCGTGCTGCCATGCAGACAGTACTGAAACAAGGAGCGTGGGTCTGTGCAGTCTGTGCATGGGCCTGTGCTCTTGGAGGCTGCGAGCTCAGGTGGGTTGACAATGCAGTGCCATGGTTATAGTCTTTATAAACAGTCAAGCTAGAAGTTAAAAAGCTGATGACGTGAGATGGGTCAGAAAGAAAAGCTTGGTGTAAAACACGCAAAGGCAACGTGGCGGGGCCACATCCAGAAAACCTTCTGCTAGGGTCTTGATGCTTCCCCGTGAATTGCAGCCCTTCTCTTGCATCTGCCTGAAACGCGTGAAGCAGAACGCCCTGTGGAAAGAGAAGAGGGATTTTGGAGGAGATTCATTCGTACCAGGCAGTGCCAGTAGCTCCAGTTGACTGCCTGGTTGGGGACTGCCCTGCTCAACCCCGAGCTCATTGCCATGACTGGGAATCCAGCACCTCTGTCCCCTCCCAAGGAATTGCCCAGTCCCAAGGGATTGCAATGTAAATCCCCTCCACAGCTGGAGCTTGGGCACATGCAGCAGATCCTTCAGCATACCCCAGGATCCTTAGGAACCTGGAGGAGCACCATGGTTGGCCTTGTAGTGCAGCTGCAAGGTGTTTCACAGGTGGGATGAATGAAAGGGTGGAAAATATTCAGAAATGAGGTGCTTTTTTCTTTTTTTACGAAGATTTTCCTTCTAATGGGAGAAGTCAGGGATGGAACAAAAGCTCTTTTTTCTGTTTTCCATTGAAATTTAATGGTCTCTCTAGAGAGAGAGGGCTTTATGACAAGAAAAAAGGGAAGAGGCATCTGTGAGATGAAGTGAACATGTGGAGTCAGAAGGAGGGACATAGGCACATTTGTTCCCAATTCCCCTCCTTGCATGAGGAATACTCTGCATGTTCAGGGGAGAGCCCTTGGGGTAGCCCACAGCATCCTTTGCCACTTGTCAAGCCGTGAGAGGTGCTGTGGACATGTCCTGTGGCTCTCATGGTAGGGGCTCTCCTCTCCAAGGGGAAATGTACTTTTCTCCCAATCCCAGAGGATCCAGGTGAGAACAGCCATGCCACGTCAGATCAAGGCTTCAAAGCCAAGGGTGCTCCATCTGGTCCTTGGAGAGGAGTCTAAGGGCAGGCTGGTGTTCACGGAGTGTGTCCGCTGTGTGAAGGCCCCTTTATATGTGAATGTCTCCACGTATAAAGGGGATGGTCTGTGTCCAGCTCTTCCAATAAGGTTAAAAGCATGAGATGTGGCTTGATTTTGACTGAGTAGGTGTCTTTGATGGATGCTCATCCATCAGATTGGAGATGCCCTCTCTGTACCAGCACTGGCAGAGGAAGTGGTCGATGGGGGTTTCCACTCAGACGGCTAGTGGTATGCAGCAGCAAACCATGGAGGAAATCTGTTCTGCCACCAGCAGGGCCAGCTCACCTTGTACACGTTTCCCTCCCCACAGATGTGCCGGCGAGTGTACAAAGGGATCCCGCTTCAGGTGCGAGGCCAGGTCTGGTCACTTCTGCTGGATGTTGAGAAGATGAAGAAGGAGAATGAAGGAAAATACGAGGTATGGGCTCTTTGTGGCAAAGACAATGGGAGCAAGGTGATGGGGAGACTGGTTTGATGGGGCTTCACTGGCTGGGGCAAGTTGGACCTGTGGTGGATGCAGGCGTCTCCATCTCCACCCATGTGGGCAGGAGGGAAATGGGGATCCCTACAGGGGTGCTTTAAGGGGCAGGGGGGGACACCCAGCCCTTGCATCCTCCCTGGCAGGGTAGTGGCATGCCGAGCGCTCTACAACACGCAATGGTGGTGGGGTGGGATCCCGTCCGTGAACTGCTGCGACCTCTGAGAAGGAAAGGCTTAAAATCAGTGGGGACTGCAAATGCAAAGGGGATAAACTTTATCCGTGTGTGTTTGTTAGTCTGGGGCCTTTCAGCACGTTAGCCAGCTGCTTTCCCTAATACGCTGCTTCCATTTCTGCTGCTGGAAGCCACAAGCAAAGATGCTGGCGGTATAACCGCATACTTAGGAAAAGATGCAGGGAAGCTTGGCAAAAGCACTGCTTGCAGTTCCCTGAGCTCCCTGGAGCGATGCCGAGTAGCCATGAAGGGTGTAGGTGCTTTATGGGGGTTCCCCAAACCTTTTCACGTGTTTGAAAAGTTCACTTGGGGCCTTTTGAAATGAGCAGCAAGGTCAGAAGCCTTAAACCAGCTGACAGTGGGGCAATAGTTGAGAAACCCAGTTAAGGGGGAGGTGAGGGTAGGTCCTGCAAGCTTGCAGGGGGATTTCTGAGCACAGGGTCCTGGCTTACAACTTAGACATGCAACTGGAAGGTGACTGGCAGCGTTGGAAGGGCTTGGATTGAAGTGGCTTCTTTTATCTTCCATCTTCAGTCTTTTTGTAACTGTCTTGAAAAATTCTATTAAAAATCAAACAATCATTCTTCTATTAAAAATCACGTATTTCTCTGCATGTAGGAGAAACGCCTGCCTTGCATTGCTTTCTACCAGAGCCCTGCATGCTGTAGGCTTGGATTCCTTGGTATAAAATATTTCTGTAGCGTGCATGGAACAACAACCTGAGTGATGGGGCTTGCTGTATTTTATTTTTTATTTCAGGTATCTCAGCTCCTTTACACTGCCTCTTTCCATAGACAGCATGTGGAAGTCCTTGGCTGATAATTAACTTATTTTCCAAGCTTGGCTTATGCTTTAGTTTGCATCACGTACCTGGGTGAGGATCAGGGTGTTGCGGAGACAGCTATGGTTTGGAGGCAGGAGGTCGAGTGCTGCTTCCAGCAGGTGTTTCTAAAAATCCCGGCCTATTAAGCAGGATGATGCTAATGCTCGTTATAGTTTGTCAAGCGTAGATGTTAATAGCAAGATGCCACGGGGATGCAGTCACGTGCAGGGGCTTGGGGGAGGCAAGCTGGGCTTACAGCAAGAAGCAGAGATAACAAAGCTCTCCCAGCACGCAGATTCTTATCACGCTCCCTCCCTTGATGCTGCGCTGCGCAGGCAGGGAAGCAATCCAAACAAATGAAAGTCCAAGGAGTTTATCTGTGCTCCAGAGGGGTCTGCGATAAACAGGAGCTTCAGGGCTAAGAGGCTTTGCTGGATGCAAACCCCCCTACAAGCTCATCTTAATCCTCCTCTTCTTTGGTGCCACCTGCTGCCAGTAATTAGCTCTCCTCTAATTTCCTCCAGAAGAGGCGCAGTGGGGGTCCTGGCGGAGGAGGGGTTTTACTTTTGAGGCTGAGCCCTGTGTCCTGGAGGGGCTGGTCCCAAGGCCACCCAATTTCTCCTTGGGTCATGGACCGTGGCATGAAAGCCTGGCTTTTGCATGTGCCTTGAGTTTTGAGCGTGCCACCTGGCAGGTGCCAGGTGATTTATCTTTATTTATACCCACTGCTCCCTCTCTAGACATGTTGTCCCCTGCACTTGGGCTGGCAGAGGAGCTATGTTTCCAGCCAGGTGGGATACCTTGCTCCCCCTGACCTTGTTGCCTCTGGAGTGATGCGATTAAAAAGCCTGGTCCAGTTGCTTCCATAGTGCTTTGTCTTATCTCAGCCGTCCTCCAAGTCCTCTCCGTGCAAGCCTCCGAGTCTTCCTCAAGGCCATGTCAGCTCAGTTGTCCGTGATGCTGCAAAGAGCCGGGAGGCTACCACGGGCTGTGCTACACTTGGTTTCAGCATGGGTGTGATGCTCTGCCTCCCTGTTTTTTTATAGCCACAACTGAGAAGGCTCAAGGAGACCTGAGAAGGCAGCAGGAGAAATATGCTGGCCACGGGGCTGGGCAGAGGCGGTGCTGGCTTCTAGCTGCTGCTTTGTAAAAGGTCTCTGGGACAGCACGTCCAGCTTCCCAGCCTCTCCTCTGCTACTGGCTTGCAGGGCTCACAGAGCTAATGAGCTCAGCAGAGCGTCTGTGGAGCCCCCAGATTGCTTAACCAAGGGGAAAAAGGAGAACAACCCGTCGTGGGCTTCTTGTTTACTGTCTGCAGAATTAATAAACACTCTTGGGTGCATGGAGGTGCCAAAGTGCTGGGCAACCTACCTCCTATTCAGGTGCAGTGATCTAAAACCACCCCAAAGCAGGGGTTTTTACTTTGGGAGATTTCTGTGTTGTTTCAGCAGAGAAAACAAGAGGGCCTTTAGCAGGGAAGTTTGACCTGAAGTGACTGGGTGCGTATGAATAGTCATTTTGTCTCAGGTAGTCTGCCTGCTTTACAGAGGGCGAGGAGCCATAGGGTGCAGACAGGATTTACAGCAGGGAAATTATGCCGTTCATCAGATCTTTGTTCCGTCGTCACTTTTATCCTCCCTTGTCTTGTGCAGGCAATAATTCAGAATAGCCCCTGCCCTGTTGCTCCTTCATACAGCTGCATTCAAGGTGGGAGTTAATACTCCCGGGATGCTGTGGCTGCCCTGAGCCTTGGCTGTGCTGGACACATATCTGAGTGCTAATGACCTTTTGATGTTCCCCAGAGCTTGATTTGGCCACCTCGGGAGGTCAACAGCAGCCTGGAAGCACCTTGTATCAGGCTGACAAGTAGGATGGCAGCTGCTGGAGCAGATGATTAAGTATCTGTGCAGATGTGCTATTTTCTGTCTTCTGTGTGAGCAAGGAGGGGTCCTGACCAGGGGCTCCAGGCAAGCTGGGCTTGCTGGTCATCTCCACTGCCCCCAACCTGCCAGTGGATCTCAAACTGCCTGAAGACAGTCACAAAATATATTTTATTAATGCAATTGATCCTGGAGATATTAAAGGAGGGCAAAATCTATTTTATTAATGCAATTAATGCTGGAGATATTAAAGGAGGAGGGCAATTGCATGATCACCGGTGGTATCTAAAGGCTGTGAGATGAGATGCTTGGCTGTAGCATAATGGTCCTGTCCTGCATGCACAAGGCTGAACAGGGGGTTACAAATGGGACGGCAGTGGGATTCATCCATGGAGTGTCTTGAGCTCTGAGGGCGCAATTGGCTGAGGTGGGCTTAGCTTTGGTTTGAATTTCCTTTTTTTTGCAGTGGACTTCAGTCCTTTATCTGGGTGATGCTGCTTTAAATGATTAGCCAGCACGGGGGGGACATGGGAGTTCTTGGGCTTCTGTTCTGGACTCTGCCGGTTCCTTAAAATTCACATCAGTCCAAGGGAATACCCTTTCTGGCAGAAACTCCTTAAACCCGAGATGATTCTCTTCTGCAGGGGAAGTAGTAGTTGGAGATCACTTTATAGAGTCTGTCATAACAGTTTAGACTTTATTCTGACTGAGCCTGTGAAAAGCTCAGGGACTCGGTCCTTACGTCTGCCTGTTGGTTATAGAAGTACATCGTTCCTCAAGTGGCAGCAGAAGTCTGGATGGTTTAGGATAGCCAGGCTGGGTACCGCAAAGAAATCAAAAGAAATCAGAGTAGAATTTAATTGTAAATGTTTTAGATTCGGAAGACTCGGTATCTGCGTTGGAAGATGGGCGATGGCTGAGCTGGCAGCTGCCGCTGTCACAGCGTGCGAGCGCAGGGCTGTCCCTCCTCCCTGGGCCAGAAGCACAGCCGAGGGGCCAGGGATTCACCTCTGGGCTGCAGATTGTTGCTCGCTGCCAGACGTCAGCGTCCCCGCGTCGCTCTGCGACAGCTCTGTGCAGCTCCTGAGCTGCCGCGCCGGCTGTGCCCTCGCTGCACCGAGAGAGGCGTGGGCTGAGGTGGTGTCTGACTCGTTCCTCTTGTCTGCCCCTCTCACTTCCAGCAAATGAAAGAACAAGCAAAGAGCTTTTCGTCAGAAATCAAACAGATAGATTTGGACGTCAACCGCACCTTCCGAAACCACATCATGTTTCGGGATCGCTACGGAGTGAAGTGAGTATGGGAGGCTGCCCGGGCATCGGTGCCGGTGGGTGTGCATGGGATGAGCTGGATGGGGTTGGCCAGCAGACCCCCTGGCTCAGAGCAGCTCACAGGAAAGCAGAGCCATCTCTGCCTGCTCCACAAACCACCTGCGCATGGTACGACCCGCAGATGTTGGGCTGCTGATTCTCTGTGCGGACAGGTCCACACTGGACCATGTTCAGCCCCTGTTCTTGAGCCAAGCGTCAGCCTGTTGTGGTGCCTTCTCCCCCAGGGTGCTAGGGTTGCAGTTGCAGAGGGCTTGGTTTGGGATGGATGGGGTGGGTCTTTCGGGAGCTGGTTGGGATGGGGCATACGTGGCCTTCACAGCAGACGGGGTTGGAGAAGTTTTAAAGAGTGGCTTTGTCACTTGGATGAGTCAAACCTGGCTGCCCTACACAGATGTACAGTAAGGAAGCCTGCACTGCATATCTATACGGTGATGACTCCTTTAGCAAGGAGGGAAGGGAGAAAGGAAGCTACTAATACAATGGTGGCACTGCTTTCCCCCAGGATGTGTAACACTTGATGCCTGGGTGGTTGCAAGTCTATTAAAAACCCACCGCCACTCCAGATCTGACAAGCGGGTGTGTTGAACACAGTGCATGTCTCTCCAGGAGCCCTGCTGATGGAGCAGGATGGCTCAGCCCTGCTCTGCAGGGCTGCTGGTGGCTCGCCCCTCAAGGAAGAGGTCCCATCCCACATGTCCCTCAAGGTCCTTTCTGGTTCTATGAGCCCTGCTCTTTGCAAAAGGCATAAGTACCAGTTGGCTGGGGGTTTCCAGAGCCTTTGCGCTCTGTGCGTATGTGTTGGTGTGCACACCAAGCCGGAGACCTCACGCTCAGGTGTTTTAATACCCTTCTTTCTCCCCAGGCAACAGGCGCTCTTCCATGTCCTGTCCGCATACTCAGTTTATAACACCGTAAGTAGTAAGTTAGTTCAGTTAAGTGAATAGAGCTGTGGGTTTTTTTTATATATATATATAAGATTTTTAAAAGCTTTATATATATTTATATATGTGTATACATGTATGTTTGTACACACACACACACATTTAGCCAGTATCAATCCCGATTTTAAGTCCTGATACTGGTTTGTACAGACAGCTCCAAGACTTGCAGGCAGCACAAGACTCTTTGCACGGTTGTTTCATTCCTTCTTTCATTTTGCCACCTGGTAAATGATATATGGGAGATGCGGCTTGGGCGAGTGTCAGCAAAGAACAAGGGAATGCCCTTTGGCTTTTCAACAGGACTGGGCTC